CTATCCCATTCCCTGATATCATGAGCCAAACAGTTGAGGTGTCTAACCTTCTCACTGAATAGCGACCGCTTAACTTGCTCGGTCAGCGGTTCATCGAGACCCGCAAGGATGTGATCCCACTTCGCGATGAACCTTTCAAGTCGCTCCTCTTCAGTATAGAAAGATGAAACACTGCATCGCAAGTTTGAGAGCTCAATTATCCTGAATGATTGCTCTCCGATATTTCGCAGTCCTTAAGTGGTCGTATAAGAGCCACAGGATCTGCCTACTCTTGATGCGATTGTTGGAGCGTTGAGCGGCTTCGGTGAGACGATTAATCTTATCGATAATTGCAACAGTCTTGATGCACTTCCGAATGGCTGCATTGAACCTGGCTTCAAGGATGTGGTATTTACATTCCCCATCCAGTTCATCAAAGGTCTTTGCCTTCTCGACTTCAGTTAGCCAATTGATGACGTAAAGTCCATCATAGCTGTAGGCATTGCTAACAGCTTCCTTCATATTGGCTATCCATACCCTCAGCCCAGCCGCGTCGGGCTCTGGCGGGAGGTCTATGGGAATGCACTTAGTCGCAGCTGTACAGTTCGGATCATGGTGGCTACTGTACCCGCCACCACCACCAGTTCCGAAAAGATGCTGTGGAACCTGAGAACTACCGATTGATAGTGCACATACAGGACAAAGGCGAGTAGCCTTCGCAATGCAAATCTCACATGCCCTTTTCATGCATATCTTACATTCCTCAATTTTGCTGGGGTCAGGAATATCCCGATCACACATCCGACACTTCTTATCAGGAGGATCGGGGCCACGCATGGTCGGCGGTTCAAGGCCTGAAGGATCCTTCGGCCTTGCACCGTTAGGATCAAAACCTGGATAATATCCGGTTTCACGTTTATCCAGGGGCACGGATTGCGTTGCCTTCGGAGGACTCTGAAGGTCAGCCGCGTTAGGTTGAACCCCGGTTGGAGTGTCATGGAATCTGTCAACGGGTGGCCGCAGAGGCGGCGAGAACGACCGCGTCGGGTTCGTCTCAGGTACGCCTCCAGGCGATCTATTCCTAACACGGTTACCACCAGGATCCCTTCTTCTCCTAGTTTCGTCCCTAAGGCACGCAAGACAACAGGGACCCTGGACAAATCCAAATCTCCTGTAGTCGTCCTGCCCAGCAGAATGTCTGGTGCAGTAGTAGGTCTTACAAAACTGACACTCAATCCCCTTGGTCAGGAACGAGCTCTCCCTACAGACTCCGCATCGGGGTCCGTTACGGGAACATTTTTCACACAGGTTCTCTTTAAACGAGAAGCAATACTCACAAATATCACCTCTACATCCCTTGCAGTGAAACTCAGCCACGAGATGATTATATCCATCACCTACATATTTACATCTGGTAAAGGGTTCCCACCGGCGGCACTCTTCTTCCCCCCTCCTCCTGGGCTTTGCCAATCTGGAGGAGGAGGCGGTGGAGGATCATCATCAGGAGGGCCAGGAGGAGGTGGCCGCTTATCCGGAGTACGGGACGCGGCACGCCTTCCTCCTGTGTGATCGTTCAATCCACTACTTGAGGCCTGGTTCGAGTGCATTGATTCGAGGGAGTTAATTTTCTGGGCCGTATTACCCAGCACCTCGAGCATTTGCTCGAGCTTACTGTTGAGCGTAGTCGAAACGGCCATGTTATGAGTATTTTGCTTGTCCGTGTAGGATTTGCAGTCCCTTGACTTTATCTCAAGGTTGGCTTGTGTCTCATAAAGTTGGTCTTTAACCCACTTTATGCCGTCCCTATTATTGGTCCAGCGTTGTTCGACATCTTGCATCATCCTATCAATCTGACATACCCTAGTGGACAGGTCCTCGATTTTGAGGTTTACTCCACCAATCGCAGGATGGTTGGATTGGCTCTCCACTAGAGATCTCTCGATCATATCAACACGAGCTATAAGCCCGGTTACTCGATCAGAAAGAGATTCAAAAACAGTTTGAACCTGGGTGATGGAGCGAGCAACATCATCATAGCTGGCTCGCTCGTTTAGGGCATCGCCTATGCTTATCATGCGATCGGCAACGATCTTGACGCGTTGGCCAAGCTCGGTCACGATGTCCTTAGTCCCGTGTGACAGCTGCATGGCCGCGTTCGCAGCCTGTGTACACGTGCTACTCACATGGACGCATTGATCGTACTTGGCCCTCCACGAGTTGACCTCAGTGGAGAGCTGCTTGATGCATTGATCACTTCTATCATTCCTACGCCCAAGGTCTTCGACCTTAGCAACCAGGCGATGAATAATCGCACTTACCGAAGAATCCACTCTCCCTCTTTCAAGGGCTGTTACAAGATCAGCAACCTCGTTGGGTTGCTCCTCACTCGCAGGACCAAATCCTGATCCGCGATCTCGAGGAGTGGACAAATCAACCATGATTGGATTAGATCTCGGAGGAGTTCTGAAAACATCCTGGACGGCCGTTGATGGCCGTGGGAACTCACTCCGATTAGGAGATTGACTCTGATACGGAGCAGATCTCCTAGCATCACGAACCGCAGAGGGTTGTGTCATGCCCAGGCCTTTGGCAACGGATAGTTTAGGAATAACAGGCCTATCCGTTCGCATAGGAACATCAGGTCTCGAGTCAGCAATAACAATGTCATTCAAGTCGGTCGCATTGGACACTCTAGACTCAGACATCGATTCAATATCAGTCGCAGCACAGATGGTATGATTGCGACTAGAACTCGATGCCATCATGGACTCAGATTCTATTGGAACATTAGCTCCGTCCATATTGTCCAGAGCGAAAAAGGAAGCCGCGTTGGGCGTAGGGCGAACACCTTGCGCGTTCAAGCCACTAGACCTATTAAATTCCTCCTGGAATGCTTCGATCCCATCAAGCACGTTAACCAGTGTGTCCGCGTTTAACGGGTCTCTTCCAATGATTGACGCTGGGTCACCTGATCGGCCGCGTCCTGAGTCCCGCGCACTGGGGTTACCCCTGTGAGCAGTTTCCCGATCCATCCCCCTCGCCCTATGCGATCCAGTCGAATTCGACCTTGATCGTTTGCTTGGGGTTGGACTGGGATGCAAATCCAATCTATCTACGATATTACGCTCCCTAGGGCTCTCAAATCCTGAAAGTCCCGGGGGAGGAGACATGTTCCTCATGGTCGGGTTTACCGACGGTCTTGGCCTGACGTTACGGCTGGCCACATCAGGATTGAGATTCTCAATCGACAAAGGTAGCATGAATTCATCACTTCCAGCAGCTCGTTTTGGGCTTTGGAATGCGGGAAAGATGACGGGGCGGGTGGCCCTGGCATCCATGCGGCAAAATCCATACCAAAAATGTTTCCGTCGTTGGGCCATGAGGCTCTCCAATCGAGCCCACCGGATTCGGTCGGCAGATGAACATCAAATGCAACTCCACTGGATGTACCAGGTTCGGGATTACCGAGCGCTTGAAAAACTATACTGCTGGTTGGCACAGGTCTACTGCTACTTCGAGAGTCACGAAACTCGGACTGACCAATATTCATCAGCTCCGGGAAAGATGAGGATTGAGCTCCAGGTGCAATACCGGGCTCGTCATCATCACGTCCTGAGACGGAATCATCATGGTCAGGACGATTAGCCCCATGACCCTGAGAGCGATTAGCTCTTGAGGCATTAGACGATAGCTCATCAGTGCGAGTAGCACTGGATCTTCCTGAAGGCATTGCTTCTGAAAAAGAGTGGTCCGACAAAAGGTCAGGACCGGAAAACATCGGCTGTCCGGGCACTTGGTCGTCATTCACAACGTTCAAGATTCCGGCCTGGCCGAGAACCCATTCGTCAGTCACCACATGAGGTCCGTCCTCAGTGATTCCCGACATGACGCCTACAGAGACCTACGGTACCTGCAGGGTTGTTATTAAAAAGGGGTTCGCGGTGCCAACCGAGGACGAATCCTACGGCTGATAACCTGCGAAAGGGTTTGAAACAGTATTTCGGGAGAGAATAAACAGGCCCTAACCCACCAACAAGAAGAGACAGTTTAAGCCCCCCAGTCCCAAGGGCAAAGTGGTGCCCTCGGCTGGCAATGAACCACACAGATAACAAACGGGGGATCCTGTTTAACCGCAAAACCCAAACAGGAAAGGGGACCAGCGCGGCAAACCGAGCGAGCGCAGCAAGCAAGCGAGCAAAGCAATTAACCAAGCAAAAGCGGAGCAGCAACAACAGAGCAATTCCCAACCCAAACCTGACCCACGCCCAAGAGCACCCAACCGCCGTGGTCTGGGGCGTGGAGCTGCTGCCCACGCACCAGTACGGCGCCGCTGGAGGCGCTTTTGACAGCTATGGCAAGTCGAGTCGCCGGAATTAAAGGCTTGAGCCAAATGTCGCATTGGACATCGGCATGAAATGACATACGCTATGATAAAAGTACATGCCCCCCAAAAACAATAACAATAGGGCGCGGTTCCTTCTTTTAGGGGAACCCCCCTTTGAGATTGTGTTAAAAGAAAACCAAAGGAAACCAACGATTTGTTGGGTTCCCCTATTTTGAGACAGAATGTCAACCATTTCAGAGGGCATCCTGAAATTGAGAGCAGCACTCTTCAGCAATCGACTCGTTTATCCGGCCCGAACCTTACAGGAACCTCAAGCAAAGCCCCAAGACCGTTGAGAAGCTGACTTCTTTGGATTCCGAAGCCTCCTGCCGAAGCCTCATGAAACAAAATGGAGGACTGTCAAAACCCCGCGCGCACCTCAACTTTCAACTGGCCAACATCTTCACTGGGCCGGCTGGAAGTTTCGCTTTTAGTGGGCTAAATGGAAATCCCCACTACTGGGGATGGCTGGGAACCACCAAGCTCAGGGCCCCTGGAGAAAAAGCCGGGCCCTTTTCTCCTCGCGCTTGCTCTGATTCAAAGCCGACGAGCCATAGGGGAGCGAGCCACAGGGGTGAAACCCAAGAAGAGACAAAGGTCCGAAAGGGTTCCTCTACATCAATCGGCCTGTTTCTTGGGACGATCTTGGGACGCTTCGGCTTCGCCCTTGCGAGGCTTGGAACCCGCCGACTTGCAAACCGAATTCGGACTCACCGCCACGGCAGGGACCTCATTGAGTGGGTCGATACGCATCGATGGGATTTCGGCGGGCGGGCAGCTCCGACCCGTCTTTCTTCAAAATTATTGCCCAGCGGTTGTTTCATGAGCGGTTACTTGATCTATCGCCTTGACAAAAGTAGAGCTTGGTTCCTGGCAAATGACGGCGGTTCTCGCGTTCAGAGCACCCACAAAAAGCAATGATATGTTGCGCTCTTGGCGTCATGAGAGCCATTGCACCCTGTTGAGAACGAAGTCAGCGGTTCTCTCTCACTGTCACGATATGTTACGGCTTCCAAACGAAGTCGCTCTGTGTGGTACTCTTGCATTTTGAGTTCGTTCTTAAGGTAGTCCTGTCGCTTACTGAGGAACATTGCAGTTTGGCTCTCCGTGCTCGCACGTTCCCGGTCGGCCTGTATAATAGCTTCTCCGTTGGCATGGACCGCTCCACACTCTTCGATTGCCATTCATGCCACACTCGCCTCCTGTTGTTGCGTGCAAAAAGAGTGTCTCGTTCGCCCTTTTCGCAAGCATATCTAGTGACTCTCCAGGCAATTTCACGTGGACGTTGTGTTCAGGAAATCGTCCCTCACGCAGGGGCTATTGGGAGCCAGTACGTCCCCAGGTCAAGAGGTTACAAAGTCAAAGGCGCGGCCAAAGTACTACGCACAATTCACGGTAAGCGAATTCCCGGATCTTTGAGCTCGTAAAAAAAAAGAAGAAGCCGCGAACGGCGCTACCAGATTGCCACCAAGACAAACTGGGTTGTGTGCAAGAAAGGGGGCCTCAATACTCCGCAACCTGTGACACCAAGAAAGGGGCAGCTACCAGCATAGTAGGTAACATTTGCTAGGACAGAGATACCTAGAGTACAGCAAAGTCAACGCACACCGTTTCTTAAGCCAAATTAAACGGTTTAATGATATGCCTATGGCTGTACATCACGCATGCCTACTACTCAACAGTTGCCAGCAATTGTCCATTTGGTTTTTACAGGGTGGTTCCCGTGGTTACCTACTGTACAGGTAAATGGAATCACTGCGCCCCGAAAGATATCCGAGTATCGCCACGGGACATGGAGAGCCGCCTCGACCCCCCTTCCGGCCGGAGCCAACTCACCGAGCTGAACACAGGTTTGAAGGCCGTAAAAGCGGAACGGGAGAAAAGAATTGGGAAAATTGGGCCCATGTCTCCCGTCTGACATGTAGACATATTCTAGGAAGGCCTACAAAAACCAAAAGACTAAAGAGCAACCAAGACAATAGCATGCTTCCCCTGCCTCAAGGTAAAAAAAAAGTGTATCTTTCAAGGAGCCCTTGACCTTTTCTATGATCCTTAAGTCAGGGATGGAAGATGTTGCCCAACGTTGGCCCCAGTGACAACCAAGACATGGGATCCCTTTAGGAGGGGGGGGGGGGGCGGGCGGGGTGGATTCCGGTCTCCAATTTGTTCAGCGCCTCCCTTGTTCCATGAAGAATTGTCAATCCAAATCAAGCGGGCTCTCTTTTTCTGTTGCTCAGTGGCTGGATTGTAATTGTTTTGTTGAGGGCCCTTTTCCCATTTTGAGCTTCTTGCCTTCCCCCCCCCCACCCCCAACCCCCCACTTCCCTCCCCCACTTCCCCCCCCTACCCCCGCCCCCTTCCCTCTGCACGCATGAAAGAGCCCTAAACACCTTAGAAAGGCCGCTAAGCACTCCCATAACCAATCATTCCGTAGCTGGGATCCCTTTCAAGCGTCGCGACGTGCCCAACAAGGACGCAAGGAACACATTGGCAAGCAAGCATTCAAGACCTGCATCAGACCTATTCAAGGCATGTACATGTGGTTTAGCTTATCAGACATCAAACACCCCCTTCCCACCCACTTCACTCCCCTTCCCCCCCCCCCCAACTCCCCACCCGACGATCGCCGCCTCCTGCACGCCGTGGTGGCCTCATGGCGCGCCAGCAGCGCGTCCAGCGCCGAAGCGTAGGACCAGGTGAGGTCCGGGACCCCCGCCTGCTTGCCTCCGTTAACCACTTGGTCCATATTCCGAAAGGGGGGGGGTCGCCCGACATCCGACCTAAGCTTTTAGTTTGCCTGACTTGGTCCATATTTAGTCAAGGAATTCCAAAAGCTTAACCTTTTATTTCCAGGCCCGTTGGGCAAGCGAGTATAGTAAAGACCGCGTAAACGTTGATCACCATGTCGAAACCAAAGGCAATGAAAATATGTTTGGGTCCACTTAGCAGGTGGCTCCCTGGAGACCGGGCAGGGAGAGGGCGGGAGGGAACCCGAAGAAGACTGAAAGCCAAAAAAAAAGGGGCTTCATCAGGGCTGCATTGGGGTGTCCCCGAAAGCTGCCGTGGTTTGACGCCCTACCCTGAAACTTGGGCTCTCTCCCCCTCCCTTCCCCCCAGACCCCATGATTAACGCTCGGTCGTAGGCAGGCATGTGAGAGAGAGCAATGGGCGAAATGGTGACGTTTACGTCTGGGATAGCGGTTGACCATGTTCATAGTGGGTATCCATTGTTTTTTGAGGGTATATAACTATATAGCCCCTGTGCCCAATTTTCAGGGTAGGGCGTCAACCACAAAAGCTTTAGGGGACACCCCCATGCTCCCAAATGGCTGTTGCCCCAGACGAGAAAGGCCTTGATTGCTTCTCCCCAAGCCCTCCCCCGAAAGTGCGTCCCTTGGTCGGCCATGCCCCCCAGCCCTCCCATGCCACCTTGTGCTCCCAAATTGTTTACATAGGCATGTCACATTGTTTGGATCCCCATGGCGGGTCTTCTTCTTGGTTTCCCTTTTCAAAACCAACCTCTTTTTGGGGCACCCTCCCAAAGCTTCCCTTTTGAAACTACCCTTCTTCTGCAGCATAGATTTCGGACCCCTTGGCTAGCATATGTATCGCAAGACCTTGGCGATTGAGAGACGACCATGTTGCAGATTGGCGCGAGTCAAACGCCGCGCGCCGGGAATCCGAAGTCTGTGTCTCAGTACCCGGTATGTTTGCAGCCCCCTGCAATATTTATCTGGGGTCAACAGAAAGTATTTGTGTGCCCTTTGCAGGATTCACACGCTCTTCCCCAAGCCGAACCAAGGACCTTGGAATCAGTGACCAGCGACTCAAGCCAGTTGGGGTTCACCAAGTGCGCTAGAGAACCAAATAAACAGAACAGAGAGCAAGGGTGGGTCTGAACAACTGCTGGCAGACCTTCGTCGTCCGTCGTTTTTTTCCTTTTGCCTGACGGCGAGGTGCCCACATCTGGCCCTCGCATCTTGATCTGCTCGGACATGTGCACCCCCGGCATGATGGCATGCGCCTAGGCATCAAGGGTGGTGCCAAGGCCGCCGGCTCCGAGTGAAGAGCAACCCCCGGTTGAGCAAATGCTCCCCCGGTTGAGCGCTACGAAAACCCTCAGATCAATGCTCTCCAAAACGCGCCGAAAGGACGCTTTCGCGGAGAGAATGAAAGGGAAAGATCCAAGGAAAGCATGAAAAAGTGACCCTGGAAAGGACAGGCCGACTTCCCGCAGCCCATCAACCACAGAAAAAAGAAGAAGAAAGAAAACGCATGCTTGACTGACTGACTGGTACTCCAGAAAAAGGGCGAGAGGTCACGAACGTAGAGCGTGAGAAGTACCCACTGCGTGTGTCGTCCCGAGTTTGTTTGAGGGCGTGCAGTTTTCTACTTGTGCGTCTTAAAAACAAAACACCAAAAAAAAAAAACGGGACCACACAAAGCATGGAAATGTTGGTTTCCCTGTGGTTTCTCTGGAGAGGGAGAAAAAGACTGACTGGGTACCCGCCAAAAAAAAGTTCAGGCCACACCGAAGCCTTTTTGGGCCTCGGCGTATCCAGACTTCCCACAGCCCCCGCCTCTGTCACGGCGGCCCAAGGGGATTCACAACAGCTTTCCATACCATGACAGAATTTGCTCCTACCACGACTCGGACTTAATTGTCTTACTACGGCAAGAAAAAATAGATCACGATAGGCTCAAAAAGCGAATCCCCATGACGAAAAGAGGGTGCGGTCGAGAGCAAAGGACGCGCGATGTTGCTTGTTTTGCGAAGAAGGAAGTCCAAAACGCGCGTCCTTTTTTTCTCCCATGTATTCATATAAACATATTATATATACATATATACATACAAATGTATATAAATAAATATGTGTACCGGGTACATTTTTACAAGCTTCTATTTGTACATCCACACCCCCAAACACCATTGAATCTGATCCCTTGACCTGCGGGTTGCTGATTTCCCTTAAAAATGGGGAGGCTGGTACATGTTGCAACCAACATGGACTTCCACGAGAAGTTTTGAAACTCAGGAACGTCCTCGCCGTCCTCGCCTTGGCATTCTTCATGATGGCATCCCCAAGCTCCATTGGCGAAACGCGGCTTCCCATGCGGGACTCCTGCGTGCCGTTCGACGGCGCGGAGGCGCCTGAGGGGACCGCTCCCGAAAGAGTGCCAGGCAGGCGATTTTGGAATTCATTGGCTGTACTTTACCCCAGGGCGTGCCTGATTCTCGGGATCTTGTTTTATGTTTTATACCTTTTGCGGCAGAGAAACTGGGGCCGGAAGCTTCTGGGCAATGCGACCACCAAGGTGGACCGCAGGTTTTAGTCCTTGGTTCCATTTTTGAGCCACAGCCGCCAAAAAGGCAGCACCTACTTTTCTTTGCTGGGGTTCCGCATTTCGGGCGTAGCCCGTCTTATCGGTTTATGAGGGTGATTTTCGAGAAACCCATAGAGCGCTCCTGACGCATTTGCAGAAAGGTATTCTGCGCCTTGGGCCAGATTGGATTCATCTATGGGTCCCCCCATAGCAATATTGAAGTGATAGAAATACCAAGTACTAAGAATATTATAGAATAGCAATCATACATGACAATGAAAATTATGATGGCGATAATCATATAATATGATTAGAATGATATCCCCACTCACCTACCCCAACCTCCCACAACTTCCCCCGACCTCCCCCCCTCCCCCCAGCTACCCCCACCTCCCTCCCCCCACTTGCCGGGCCTTGCGGAGCTCGTCCATCAACGGCTGCACGTGACCCGCCACGTCCATCCCACTGCAGATGGCCCAGGCGGACCAATACCTCCACTCAACCGGGGCTCTTCCCCCGAAAACCAGGGGGGGGGTCACTGGATTTGTTCTTGGGTTGATCCATTTACCAGTGGTTGTCCATGGAAACTGCCACGAATGGAAGTTCCGAAAAGGGAAATGGCTCGGAAACCCTGCCAACAATATTCCTTGACAGGGCTCCCTCCTTGCTCACTATGCCCCTTTATCTCTCCAGGCTGATCCCCTGCTAAGAGTGGTTTTGACTTTAGTGACGCAATGGACACTGCAAGCCTTTGCATAGCTCGAACCCCCCAGGTGGTCAAAGTGGTGGATTCGCACACCTCTTCTTGCCTGGGGCTTTGCGCCGAGTCTTCAGCGCAGCGTTGGATGAAACCCGAGAACTCGGATCAAGACAAAACGGTCGGTCGAAACCACGTGCTGACAAGGTACCAAGATGGCACCCTGGAAAAGATGGCGATCCATGCATGCACCCATAGTCTACTTTTAAGCTTCTGTGGTATTTTGCAGAAACACCTACGCAGGGGTACGTAGTTGGGACCTTGGAAACTGCTGCAAGCTGCAGTTCGTCCACTGCAGTGTTTGCTGGCTCTCGCGTTGGGGAATTCACAAGGGCGCCGGGCATGCGATGGCTCCCCTGAAAGGAAACCGCGGCAAGTTGGTTGGTTCAATCCCTACCTATCGGAACCAGCAAGATTGACTTAGTCAACGTTTAAATCTTTACTAGGCATCATCATGTTGCGAAAGAGCAAAGATATGGGTCTGTCTTTTTGAGGGTACCACCCTTTCAGTGGTTCGTAAAAGGGAACCAACATTTTGGGATCCTGTCCCAAAAGAAACCAGACACACCCACAGACGGTACCAAACGTTGACCCTGTTGAGGGGCAGGCCTCCATTTGCTTAAATATTTCCAGTAGTGATAGATTCCCTTTAACATCAGAAGGGGAAAATAACTGAAAAAGAAATAACCAAATGGAAGGCCTCCATTTTAAAATCAGAAGGGGAAAATAATCATAACAATAATAAAACACCAAAAAATGGAAGGAGGTGACTTTATACCTCTTGGCTCCAGCAAGCCGCATCTGCTCCGCCAAGGCGTGGGTGGTCAGGAACCAGGGGTTCCCGTAGTCCTCCTTCCCGCACTCCCCGTAGCCGCAATACCTGAGGAACGTCAGGGAACCCAGAAGGAAATTCGGTTGCGAAATCTGCTCCCCTGAAAGTTTAACTTGTAGTGGTTGAACGGAAAACCAATTCACTAGTTGGCAAAAAGTTGGTCCTAACATCCATGCAAAATGCAAAGGAACTTTCAAGGAACCCCCAAGACCCCCAAGGAACCCTTAGACGCTAAGGGAACCTCAAAGAATAGCTGGGGCTTGGTTGTTTTCTGTCTAAGTTGCTAAGCCTCACGAAAGCGTGCGGCGCTGGAAGCAGCCCTTTCCCGTTCTCAGAATCCTTTGGACTCTGCGAACCCCGGTTCTCCGCACCTCCTGGGCAAAGGGCCGAGGGGGGGTTCCTCTGGACTCCCTCTGCCACAAGAGGGTCCCTGGACCTTTTGTAGCCCATTTGTTCCCAAACATGAAACATGAAAATGACTTTCAGGCTTTCTTCTGCGGTCCTTGCGACCTGGCAGCCGCTTTGAAGCTTCGGACCTCGGAGCCTTTGTCGGTGGCCTGGTGGTGTTCCAGGGTAAGTTTTTCCCAGCCCTCTACAAAAACATGGGATTCAAACCCAAGCCACCAATCCAACAAAACAAGGGATACCCGAAAAACGTGAGAAAGAAAAGCCAACAAAGCAAAACAGCCACAGAGTTTCTCAGACCTGGCTTGCTGGCACATATTTGCGCATGCACATAGCATATCATACTTTCAAAACGTGTTGCTTTTCGGAAACATCCAGCGAATCCTAGCGACCTGTTCCGCGTCTAAGCTGGTGTCGATCCCAGATGAGGCCCAAAGCCTCGACTACTGCATCCTCCTCTTCGAGACTGGCGCGCTCCCCGAAAACTGGAGGATGTCATTCTTAAATGGGGCTGCCCCTTTTCAGCATCAGGCTCCTTGAATCCCGCGTGCCAACTGTCCGACCAATCTACCCTTCCATTTGCTTACGCCCCCTGGACAAAATAAACCTATGCCCAGTCTTGATGGATTCCCTTTAAAACCGAACAAGGGAAACTCGAAAGCAACTCTCGCCTAAAATCGGAGGTAAGGACTCTTTCAAACCAGGAGCCCCGCCTGCGCTCCTTTCGTTTTCCTTCGGATTCCGGAAGATCCCTCAGGGGTTTTTTGGCCGGGCGGCGTGTCGCCAGGGTATCTGCCGACCAGGAGCCCGGCCAGGCCTCCCGGAATTGCGCACATTTGACCAGGGGAAGACAAAGTAAAGTCAACGACTCCAGGGAATTTAAGCTCAAAATGGGACTTTGCAGTCGCAGACTTTGTCACCCACTGTCACAAGTGTAGCCGAGCCCATGATGCCAAACAACTTGCCGGTGCGATAGGCAGGGAATGAGACGTGGAGTGACCCCCAATTTAAGCCATCCCCGATTTGGTTTCCTTTGAGGGAACCCCTAGGTTCATTCGCTCATTCTCTACTGGGCACCGGCAAGACAAGTAGAGCCATTTGGCTAGCCTTGATCCCCTCCCAAAAGCAAAATGAAAACCGCACAAGGGGCGAAGTTGCCAAAGTTTGACCGGCAAATCTTGGTACCGTGGCAATGCTCAATGGGGCAACAGTTAAGCCCAGCAAGGAAAAAACCAACTCTACCAACCCGCGGGCGAAACCACTGTTCAACATAGCAATAAGCCACTGTTGGTTCAATAATCTGCTTCTAGCCTCCCTCTTGAAGGAAGCCGGCTGGATTTCAGGCGCCGTGGAAGGGGGAAGCTGGAAGCCGTTTCGATGGCAACCTGAGTCGCGGCAATGCACTCGGATCCCTCCTAGCAAACTCACTCGGAGCCCTGGGTGCAGAATTCTTGGCATGCCCGCCCTTCTCCTCCCCCACGCCGGGTCAGCCAACCCCCCCCCCCCCGCCCACCTGTGCCGCCTCTCGCTGCCCAAGAAAACTCAGCCAAAAGTCAAAACGGCCACTTAGCCGGCCTGCGGGGTTTGAAACAGCGGGGTTTTCCCCCACAGTACCCATCTCCAAGACTGGAACGAAGCCACCCCCAACTCCGCAGCCCCTCCTTTCGCACGATCCACTGCGTTCACCTGGTAGTTGGGCGCCATGGACCTACCGAAGCAAGCCGAAGCAAGCCGAAGCCGTCGCGGCCTCTGTTGTGCGAGGGTACCAAATGTTCAGGTTGGCTTCACAAAATGTCCAACCATATTTGGGGTGCCCCCTTTGTCAACACACACGCATATATATATATATATATTATAAATATAGTCTGTGTATGTGCCTTGTTCAAAACTTCTTATAGCCCTCTGAAAACATGGGGATTTCTTCGGTTTCCCTTCCCCAACCCTTGACAAAAGTTCACCACTTTGAGAAACCTCCAAATGCCTGATGGTCATGGCGCCTTCATGAAAATCCGTGTGACGCCTGAATTAGTACCTCAAGATTCCGTGACCATCCCTACTAAAGCCAAGAGAAAGTGTGTCTGTGTTGGCCGTGGCGCATGTACGTACTCACTTGCCTTTGCCACCAAGAGGGGTTGCTTGAAAAGGTTGATGCACCAAATGGACCAGGCCACACGAGGCTCTAAGGGTATTCATAGGGGCCCCAATTCCCTCGTCCAGTCTTCCCAGGAAAACGTACCCTGTCCCGAATCAGACTTTGAGGCTGGAAACGTTGGACAACCAAGAGGGGTGCGACTCATAAAATGAGTCGCATAAGCAGCTCCGGCTTCTCTTCAACGTTTCGACCGGAAGGCCGAGAAAATTACAGCAGTTCTTCTTGCGGTTGCCAGCCTTTTCTACCATCACTTTTCTTGGCTGTCAAAACTGACCCCTGCTGCAAGCTGTTTTTGATTATTTGTTTGGTTTTTACTTTTAGTGGGTTTAAATGGAAACCCGCACTATACACTACAAATCTAAAGAAACCTACGGGGACGGCTGGGCCCCGCCAAGTTCAGCAAAGGATACTTCCATTTGGTTAAGACCCCTGAAAAAATGAAAATATTTCCAGTAGTGATCAATTCCTTTTACACCAACAAGGGAAAATAACAAATATTATTTGGCAAATAGAAAGATATAGCCCAAAGTTACTCCCACGATGCCCAAGAACCAGCCCCAGTGGCCAGGGACAACTTGACACCATAGGTGTCCTGAATTGGGGAAATAGATGGCCCTGGTCTTGGTTGCTGTTGACCCCCCAGCAAAAAATGACTTTTTGGGGGTTTAGTGGAAAACACCTGTATTTCCCAAAAGTTAAAGTCCAAAGATCCAACCCAATAGCAGTCAAGTGGTAGATGATTAAACCACCAGGTAAACCAGGAATCGCCATCTATTTTTCGACCAAAACAACCAAAAAGAACACCAAGCAGCTTGATACCTTTTTTTGGCTGGTTCATTTTAAAGGTAGACACCTTTTTTGGGCCGGTTCATTTCTCGGTTGCTTTCTGCGAAGCCCTGCTAAAAGTTGTTGACCTTTAGTGGTTTAACACGGAAAACCAATTCACTAGTTGGCCAAAAGTTAAAGTCTTAACATCCACGCACAATGAACCAAAGTTTTAAAGGTTAACCCACCCCAAAATGAAAAGATGGCCAGGGCACAACTAACGTCAGCTCTTGGCTGTTCATTTAGAGGGGGTTGCCCCCGACCAATCATTGCGAAACACGTAGCGGTCTGAATTCGCGCAGTTGATCCGGCCGGCGTGTGGAAAATTGGCAAAGAGTGATGCCGCGAAAAAAGCCACCCCCGATGGATTCCTTTGAGGGAATCCCCTTCCAGTTCATCCCCCTCCGGTTCATTCTCAACACCCGGAAGGTCATTCCCTACTAAGCACCAGCAAGTTGTTCCCCCCCGAAGTGCGAATTCTCAATTCCAGGTCCAGGGCTCTGAATGAGTTTCTTGGTCGTGCGCAGCAGCCGGGCATCGTAGGGCGGGATCACCGAGTCACCCTCGGCGCAACGTGATTCCGGAAGGCTGTTCAAGAGGGAGGTGTCGAAAATCTGGAAAAAACAGGTGTTAGACCTACCTTCCCGGAAGTTCGCTGAGTGACCAGTTCTTGCAATCCACTGCAGGCCTAACCCCTTTCTTTTCACCCCGAACTCTCGGAAAAAATGCGCCTCCTCGAGACAACTCGCAGGAGTTGTCCAAAAGCCAAAAAAAAAAAAAAAAACATCTCGGGTCAGCTCCTCTGAATCCCTTAGGTGGCTTCCTATGGACCTCCAGCTGGCAGTTGGGTTGGAAGACGTCCCCGAAACAATGCGCCAGAACCGAGCCCCTTTCAAACCAATCTGTCAGTGCACGAGAAATTCCCCCCCCCCCGCCCCACCCGAATACAGGCGTCCCCTCTTGCAGCACCAAGGCTAAAGCAGGGCCAACAACCAACAAGGTTTTGCTAAAAAAAAAAAAAAACGAAAAAAAACGCCCCAATCGATTTTTGGGCCTCCCCAAGCACCCGACCCCCGGAGCCCCCCCCTCCCCGTTTCTAGAGGTGCCCGGGGCTCAGTTTTGCCGGGCCCCTGGTCGCTGCTTTGGCCCAGCCTGGTGGGCTTGTTGAAAGATGGTGCTCCGGCACTTGGAGTAGCCATCCCCTTCACATTGAGAAGTTTTTGTGGGCGTAGTACTCAACAGCCTTGTCAGGTGAGAATGTGTTCAATCGAGTGGGGGGCCTGAAGAATGCTACGGCATTGGTCTAATTTGGTTGCTTTGCCACGCTCCAAAGTGAAGGATGATGAAAAGAAAAATGCTAAAGGGAACGATTCGAATGTGCACAGGTCTGGTGATGATTCGCCTGTCTACCAGGAGCTGATTGATGCTGCCGACATTTGTGAATAGGATCTAGGTTTGAACCTATGGTTGCAGAGGGCAATTCTAAGGTGGTCAGCTCAGTGCAAGTATTGCTTCCCCCCCCCCCAGGGCCTAACCTTTTGTATGTTCTATTGAAAAGCCGTTTCTTTCCAAAAGGTCTAAGGGGGCCTCGGCCAAAGGCCGAATCGCCAAGATGGAGAAGGATTCAACAAACGCATACCCTTTTGGTTTCCCTTGGGAAAGCTTGAAAGTTATGTATGCGTTTGTGAATAATTCTATTAGATTTTATTTGTCTACTGAGCACCCAGTCAACTGGGCGACTGTTTTTCTCCTGAGCCTCTCGCTTTCTCAGCAAATGTTTCTGCGCCGGGCGTCTGCGGCCTTGCTGTTGAAGACAAAGTTTGCTGCGATTACTGTGTTGACGTCCAGCTCACAGGGGAACTCCACCATGGTGGGCCACACTTCTCCCGTCTCCAGCAGCACACGCTCCTTAAGCGGGAAAATCACCCATAAGCCAAAACCTGCCCGTTTTTGGCTCGGAATCTAATCCAAAACCTGCCCATGTTTGGTTCGCAATTTCTTTTTGGGACCCTTTTTTTGGGCCACCCGTGGTCACTTTTTTACAATCCCCGGAGACCGAAACCCAAAGGGGAAGTCCAAAAATTAAGTGAATTGGGACCCAAGTCAAGGACTGTCCCCAGAGCTCGCCTTCCCACCCTTTAAGCCAGGGCCCTCTGAGTCGATGTGGCTCAGATACCCCCCATCACCCATCCAAAAGGACAATCCATCACACGCTGTTACAGCCTATTTACAACCCTCGACTCCACCACCTCCGGCCACACAACACCAGCGTGTCGCCAGAAATAGGAGCGGATATCCGATGATTTAGTAGCAAAGACGGGAAAACGCGGGCAAACAGAACCGGCATCTTGAGTTCTAAGCTCCCACCACAGAAAAACAAAAACATTAACATCACATGTATATTGTTGTTTTGCCTTTGCTTTGTTTTGCCTAATGAAACTCCCCCCCCATCATTGAAAAAAAACTTGCTTTGCTTTTGCTTTGTTTTACCCAACCTAAAACACACACACAGACACACCAAAAAAAAACTCACCTCCCCCTCAGCCCACGTCAGGGCACGGAGCTCAAGCACTTTGGCCCGGCCAAGCCCTGCTGCCTTCCGACCGTGGCCTTCACCACCAGCGTCTCCTGCCACCCGTCCCATGCAACGCGGGGATTCAACGCGGCCGTGCGGTCGCTGATTCCAAAGTTGCCTCCAATGACGACTAGGTCCTCCAGATTTGAGAGGCCAGCATAAGGGTGAAGAAAAATATATATTGTCTATTTTAGTAGGGGAACCTTCCCCAAAAAGAAAGCAAAAAAGGGCAAAAGGGCACTGCTGGAGTTTGGAGGGGGGAGGGGGGGTGGGGGGGGAACTGTTCTCATGCTATTTCTCCAACAAAGACCCCCTGATGTCAAGCAGTCGGGAGCTCATGAAAGAGTCGAGAGCAGGTGCGGGTGCAAGGCGGGGCTTTGGTCTTTGTTGCCTTCCAACTCAGACTTTGTGGGCGTTGATCCCTTGCTGAAAGAAAAACTGCTGGCGGATAAGGATATGGGTCTGTCTTTTTGTTGAGGGTACGATAGGGTACCCCCTGTTTGGTGGGCTTTAAAAGGAAGCCAAGAGACCCTCCCACCCAATTGGGGGGAGGTTCCCTGAAAAAAACGACACCGCCGCCATGTCCTAAATCCCTCGCTCCAAAGTCTCGCCATCTGAGTCTTCCCGAGGAAGAATCAATTCCTTCGCTTGTCTGGGTTCTTTGAAAGGGGGATCTGTAACTTTAATCTGCACAGAAGGGAAACCATGTGGCAGAAAAGTTTGAGGATTGTGAAGCACCCACCCAGTTCAAGGCAATAGCCCACAGAACCCCGCCCCCCCCCCCCCAACCCCATGGTCCCAGAGCGCCTGAGCTTTAAACCCTTGGCCAAAGAAGTTTGCTGCTTCCTGGTGAGCCTCTCCTCTTTTCCCGCTACCTTACCCTTAAGGGGGAGGAGCGGTGGAACCAATTCTATTAGCATCCCCGTGGAGGGGAAAATGGAAACAAATGGGAAATCCAGGGTCACCCCCCTCCCCCAATTTCATTTGTAGGGGGGTGAAGATGTCTCTTTCTTAAGGACCCATCTGGGTTGGATTTAAGGCCTTTTTCGGAGCCAAAGAGCAAGCTCGGTTCAGAGCTGACTGAAACTGGTGGCATCCAGCTATCCCGGAAGCCCATTACACCCCCCCCCGCTCGGCGCATGTGGCCAACCACATGGGGTATTCATGTATGGGACATACAATGGTGTACACTTGGGGCACGTTTAAAAAAAAAAAGAAGATCGGGCGGTTCTTTCCGAAGTGGGTTCCGATATGTTCCTTAAACATCACCCCTACCAAAGGAAACCTGGGGGCCACGGCAATGCTTAAAACCAAGTTTCCCGCAACCACGGCAGTACGTTGATCCCTTGCTACACTTTGAGCGGCATATGTCACAAATCCCTCTCAATCTTGAAACTCCCCCTCATTGGTGGTTTGGAGCTGGGTGGTTTGGAGGCTAGGAAGCTGCTTCCCATTTTGCCCTCCACGAGAACCGGGCTTATCCCCAATCTGCAAATCCAAACCACCCACTGATCTAGGGGTACCTTCCCCATTCTTGCCCGGGATCCTTCTTTTCAGGAAACCATCAAACATCCAGGGGAAACTGCCGGTTTTCGAAAAGAACGATGGTTGAAAACAATGGGGAATCAACCCCTAGAACTGAGGGTATCCCGAATTTATGGCTTGGAAGCGCCCAACAAAAAAAACGGCCGCTTCCGGGCGTCCTCCGAGAAGAAGCTTTCGGAGGCTCCGCGCAGGTTTCCTGCCTCGTCGAGCGGATTGGCTTAAAAAAAGATTTAAAAAAAGAAGGTCGGGACGGTTTGTTTACCACTAAAATGGTGCAAACCCAAAAAGTGTCCTAAGTCCAAGAACTCAGGGAGTGAGTTCTCCTTGGATGTATCCATTTTGTCCAATTTAACCAGCTGAATGTGGGTTCTCGGCCAACCGAACACCCCGAAAAGCTGGGAATGAACAACAAACAACTTGCCCCAATGGTTTTCCATTTCCATTGAGGGGATCCATTCCCAAAACCGGTTCATTCCCAAAAGCCTCGGGCTGTTCCCCGCTGCCCTGACTCCTTGCCACAAGAGCACTTGAAACGGAGCCCTTTGCCTGGCTGACGTTGGGCTTGGGGAGCAAAAATCCAAATTTTAGGTTTTTGAGTGGTTGGATTTCAACCACTAAGCCACAATAAGCAAAAATGTGCTCCCAACGACAACCATGTTTAATTCCTTGAGCTTAGGTGAGTTGCCTTGCCCCTTCGTTCTTTGGATTGGACGAGCCCAACCGGCCTTCCGCTGCGGAATCGGAAGGCCATCAGGGGGGGATTCCCAGTCCTACTCTGCCACCTATGGGACACCGCAATACCATGTGGCACAAGGAAATCAGGATCGACTTTGAACCCCGCCAGTACTGTCGACCCCTGATTCATGATCACCCCCCCCCCCCCAATTCTGAAGAGTCCCTTTTCTTCCTGGGACCCCTGAAAAGAATCACTGGGGGGGGGGGGGGGCCTCTTGACATGAAGCTTCCGCCGGGCCGCGCTGTACACCCAATTCTTGTACCCGGACTTCGGCCACTGCGCGTCCCCATCTTGGCCCATACGCTTGGCCACCCGGGCTCCTGGCAACTCAGCTTTCACTGCCCACCCAAAACCCACTGCCGGCATGCTCCTTAAGGGCCCAGAAGTCCAAGGTGATCAACTTTTGGAGGCCATGGCTGAAAATGGCAACGCCGAAAAGGGAAACCCTTTGGTCAAAAGGCCGATTCGCTTTGGGCAAGTGATTCTGGGAGGCTGGGTCGGAACAAGTCCGGACTTTTTGAATCGTTTGTCATCATCTTAAGCCCCCAAAACGTCCACTCAGCGAAGAAGTACAAGGCGATCAAAGCGACTGGAAACCACAAGGTGCAAAGGCCAATTAGCTTTGGGCAAGTGATTACAGCTGGTTGGCCCTCATTTGCATTTTTTGCCTCACTGGCTGTTTGGGGACCAAGAAATAAGAGGGTAAGCACCTTTGGGGACCTTGGCCTTCACTAAACTTATGATTTTTTTAGCCAGCCAGAGACTGGAAATCTTGAAATATTTACTTTTTCAAAAAATCATCGATTTGGTTATCCTCAAACCTATCCAAAAATCATCCTACAATCATCCTCTGCAAAAAACATCATCGAAAAATCATCCTCTCCCTCCTCCTTCATCCCTCCTCCACATCGCTTCTATGCTCTGCGTTTCCATTTTCCTTTCCTTCCCGTTCCTTCCCGTTCCTTACCCTTTTCAATTTCCCTCTTCTTGTTTCCATGTTCCATCTCCTTTCTCTTTTTTCTCTTCCTTGTCCTCTCCAATTCTCTTTGCCCTGCCCTGTTCCTTCTTTCCCTTTTCACTCTTCCTCTTCCTGAGACTGACAGGAAAAGCAAAAAGTTGCAAAACCCTCCTGTTTTTTTCAAAAAATCATCGAAAAATCATCGAAAAATCTTCGAAAAATCATCGAAAAATCATCCCCAACCCACATTTTCTGGACCAACCCCCCTTCACAGTGGTCAGGAAAGCAAAAAGTTGCAAAACCCTCCTGTTTTTTTCAAAAAATCATCGAAAAATCATCAAAAAATCTTCGAAAAATCATCGAAAAATCATCCCCAACCCACATTTTCTGGACCAACCCCCCTTCACAGTGGTCAGGAAAGCAAAAAGTTGCAAAACCCTCCTGTTTTTTTTCAAAAAATCATCGAAAAATCATCGAACAATCTTCGAAAAATCATCGAAAAATCATCCCCAACAACCTTCACAGTGGTCAGGAATGCAAAAAGTTGCAAAACCCTCCTGTTTTTTTTCAAAAAATCATCGAAAAATCATCGAACAATCTTCGAAAAATCATCGAACAATCTTCGAAAAGTCTTCGAAACATCTTCAAAAAATCATCCTGACCGGAATCCATCTTCAAAAAATCATCCACCAAATTATCCTGCCTGACATCAACCTTCCAAAAATCATCCTCCCTATTTTCCTCCCCTGTTCTCCAGCCTGGAACACGATTTGAAACGAGCTTAAACACAGCCACCGTCAGACATTTCTTGCGCAAAATGGCTCCAACTAAATTGTTTCATGGCTGAAGCTGAAGGACACCCACCAAAGCAAGCCAAGCAAAGCCAAGCCCAGCAAATCAAAGCAAAGCAAAGCAAGCGAGCAAAGCAAAGCAAAGCAAAGCAAAACAAGTGAGCGAGCGAGCGAGCAGGCAGGCAGGCAGGCTTGAGGATAATGAAAAACGATGAGGATAAAACAATGATAATCTGGAGGATAATGACAAACGATGAGGATAAAAAAAGGATAGTGTTGAGGATCATGAAATCGATGATTTTTTGAAAAAAATAAATATTTCAAGACACCTCAGTGTGTGGCTGCAAAAATGTCATAACACTAAACATAGTGGTTGCCAAAATTGGGGTTTCCAGATTCGGTCAGATCCGGTCATTCGCCGTGTGGAAACCAAAGGATCTCCCCCCGATCTCGCCCCTTGGGTAGGAGTCTGGCTTGGTCTCCGCCACTCGAAGATGGAAGAAACTGGGGACGGACTTCCGGATTCCACCTGAACAGATAGGCGTTTCCGGAGAAGAAACCAAAAGTTGGTGGGTCACAACCCCCCTTTAGAAACGCTTAGAAAGAAGGCGTTTCACCCTAGGTGGTTCAGAAAAATCGATGACACTAAAGGAAAATTGCAGCCACCTAAAACCGGCGCCATCCAACTTGACCTAACCCACGGCTGCACCCCAATCCGCCTTCCAGCAATGCCTTTCGCTGCACCTGCGTGTGTAGAGACGGGTGCCTGTTTCAAGCGAAACCCCTCCATAAGGCCCCCCCTAAAAATGGGGGGGGGTCCTTTTGGTTGCCAGCCAGAAGCAGGTCCACCATTTTAAGAGAAACTCCCTGCGCCGATTTGTGAGTCCCCTGGTTTTATGCCGGAAAAATCGGGGGACTCAGCGGTTCAACCTCACAAATTTGGATGCATTCAAGGGGTCCCGAGCCCATAGATGTGGACTGGTATTTTTATGTTTGACCCCGGGCTTAAGTTAAAACACCCTGCTTTTTTGGGGTATTCCTCTCCAAAAGTGAAAAATCGACACACAACCCGGGACACCCCCATATCAATACACTGGGGTTTATATTAATCCGGGGCCAAGATTATACATCAAGTAGGCCGTGGCGAAGGTTGAACCGCTTTCCTGCATCCTGCCGACACGAGCGGCTTCCATTTGGCCACGGGCCCCGTTTGACCAGGAAAAAGGCCAATCTGGGACAAACCAATGGGATGTTGCCCCCAGGTAGGAAGAATGCAGGACACGCGTATGACGCGTGCTTGGCATTCCTTCTTTGTACCTGGTCCTGTCTGAGGTTGTAAAGATCACCCAGATCGGAGGACTCAAAAACACGGGCCTCACGAGCCAGGTGGCTGAAGCATTACTTTTGTGTGGCTTTGGCAAGCCTTGGCTGAGTAAGCCTCAAGGCCACATACGAAGACGTTGCCGAATGGTTTCAGAAACTTTGAGAAATAAGTAGCTGTTGGCTCTTGGATATATACTTTGAAACCAGACTTAGTCATGATTCTAGGGGTAAAACATTTGTAATTGTGTTGCCCCTTGCATTGGTGCTTCACTCACCTGGATTCAGGCGCCCGTCTCAGGGATTGAGGAAACTAGACACGGACCACCGCGGCTTAAACATCTCTAAATCCTGCCGGGTGGTGTTACATGGGGCAGGTGGCCTTTTGGACAAATAGAAGTCCCTGGTACATAGAATAAACCATGTACCAACACCAGTGCCGTCTATTTTTCACCAAACTAACCTGAAAAGCTCGACACCTATGCTTGTAGCTCTTAGCAAAGCCCGGCCACTTCACGCGCCGCAGCGACCCGCAGGCCCCACGGCCGCCTCTGCCACGAAGAAGTGGTTCCCGTAGATCTCCTCCCATGGGCCCACGGAGCCCTCGTTGTACCTGTGCACTTCGGCTCCCAAAATCGGCTCTCCCCAAACTGGGGGGGGCGGGGCGGGGGGGGAGAAAGCCGGCCGAAAAAGACACGGCTGCGGTTGTCAAAAGTAGGTGCCCAAAATGGGGAACTGGCTTGCCCTGGCAAAGGGAACCGCCCGGACGAAAACCTGCGGTCCATATCCTGGTCGCTTCATTTTTGTTGACCCCCATGTGTTTGCACCTTGTTGGTTTCCAGGGGTCCCTTTTTCGGGGTCACACCTCTCGATCAGAGGTGCCAAGTGTTCACAAAGTCCAGGGCGTCGTAGAGGATGCCCTCCGTGCCGCCTTTCAGTGCGCAGGCCGACCCAAGGAACCAAACGGGAAACCTCTCCCATAGCGCTGTTCATTGGCCATGGGTCAAAAGCCCGTACCCCCATAGACCAACATGGGTGGTGAATTCACCTACCCCAAAATGGTACCATTGGTTTTGACCCAAAGGCAAATTGCCTAAGGACCGGGCGCATCGCGGAAACCGAGGCCCTTGTGGAGGCTTTGCGCTAAAATGAGAAATGAACCAAGGCCCCACTTGTCAAACAAAGGCCCAACATGCACCAGAAACCCAAACCACACGAGCTGTGACCAGATTGGTCCGATTCGGAATCTCCGCTCTACGCACTTCACTTTTGAAGGACCTGACAGAAGGGAGGTGTCCAAACGGATTCGTCGGGTCACAACGCCGTTCTCGGAAAAGCCCACGCTGCCAAGGGATTGGCGTATCTGTTTGGCAAACAATGCCAGCTTCCCGCTAAACTAGGCTATAACCTCAAGCAGCCAGAAAAGCATGCGTCCAGGAAGATGTGAGGGCAGGAACAGGCAGCCCGCACGCAAAAAAACCTCAAAGTGCAAAATGCACCCATGTTTCCCCTTCTGAAGCACCCCCCCCCGCCATTTTCCCAGATTCTCATGTGGAAAAACGGACCGTCAGGAGCCTTTTCTGATCTTGTCAGCCCCCGCAAGGTGCAAACCTTGGCCTTGGCCTTGCCTTGCCTTCTACGCTTTCCTACGCCACCCTTTCCCTTACTTTACTTTTCTTACTGTACTTTACTTGGCTGGTTGTACTTACTGCACACACGTACTTGCTTACTTACCTGCTTGACTTACTTGGCTTGTTGTACTTACTGCAAACACGTACTGCTTGATTACTTACTTGCTTGCTTACTTTACTTTTCTTACTGTACTTTACTTGGCTGGTTGTACTTACTGCACACACGTACTTGCTTACTTACCTGCTTGATTACTTACTTGCTTGCTTACTTTACTTTACTTACTGTACCTTACTTACTTGGCTTGTTGTACTTACTGCACACACGTACTTGCTTACTTACCTGCTTGCTTACTTACTTGCTTGCGTACTTACTTTACTTACTTTACTTACTTACTTACTTACTTCCTTACTTACTTAGATATCACTTACTTACTTCGTCACTTGCTGACTCACTCGCTTACTGACTTACCTACTTTCTTGCTCACTTACTTACTGAAACTTGCTTTACGTTCTTTCTCACATACTTTTCATATGTATGTTTCTCACAGACTTACTCACTGTCTTGCTCACTTACTTTGTTTTTGCCAAGGGTACTGTCGCGCCCTTTGGCCTGCAACGACGGCATCTTAAAACAGCCAGGATTGCGCCATTTCAAGGATGTGGCGGTTCTGCTCTTGTCTTCAAACTCCGCTCGGCTCCCTGCATAAACGTCCCAAATACTTTTTATGAGTCAACTTCCTTCATTGGTGCCTTGTTTTTTACTCACTTACATACTTGCTTACTATACTTCCTTCCTTCCTTCCTTCCTTCCTTCCTTCCTTCCTTCCTTCCTTCCTTCCCTTCCCTTCCTTCCTTCCTTCCCTTCCTTCCTTCCTTCCTTCCTTCCTTCCTTGCTTGCCTCACATGTGCTTGATTCCTTGCTTATTGCTTAAACTTGACTTGACTTGGCTTAACTTAACTTCTTTACTTTATGTACTTACTTACTGACTTGCTTACTTACTTACCTACGTGACTCGCCTTACTTACCATACTTCCCTTACCGATTTACTTGCTTATTTAGCTACTCACTTACTCACTTGCTCACTTACTCACTTACTGACTCACTTGCGTGCTTACTTTCTTACTCACTTACTTACTCACTTTATTGATTTTACTTTTGTTCTTGCTTGCTTGCTCACTTCACTTACTTATTACTTACATACGTACTTATTTACTTCAACTCAACTTGACTGCGCTTGACTTAACTTAACTTATTTACTTTACTTTACTGTACTTACTTACTTACGTACATACCTACTTACCTACCATTTCTGTACATATTTACTTCCTTATTCACTTACCCACTTTCTCACTGTCTGACTTACTTGCTTACTTTATTGCTCACTACTTGCTTGCTTCGTTACTTACTTTACTTCCTCCCTTGCTTGCTTACTGCACTTTGCTGAAGTGTTTACTTGCTCGTTTGCTGGAATACGCATTGGTTTTCTTACTGACTTACTTACTGACTTACTAATTGACTTCCTGACTTAGATACTTACTCACCTCCACGCGCACACACACACACACACCAGCCACGCCGGGACCCATACAGTACGTAGCGCAACGGACGGACCAAACGGAACAAAGGTTCCGACGGCCTCCGCGGAGGAGCTCCGCGGTGAAGTCCCCGGTAGAGTTGCCTCACAGCCCGGCTGAGCCGTTGCTGAAGGAGGCTGCGTGCCCGGCTTCTCTCGAAAAGCGTGGCGGCTGAGATGTTGTCATTCTTGGTGGCTTGGAGGCTAGAAAGTGGTGAAAATGTGCCCTCGAAAAGTTGGCGACTTAGATGTTGGTTATTTGTTTGGCTTTTTGGATCAAACATAGGGGTCCAAAGTGGTTGCCGTGGCAAATGGAAACATGGACTAAAACCTGCGGTCCAACCAAAAAGTTCAAGTCCAAAAGCCCAACCCAACAGCCAATACAGTTTATGAATCACTCGTAAAAACATCTTCCTGGCTAAAACCGGTGAGCTCGCGGATTGGTGTATACCCATCCCCTTTGGTGGGGTGACCCCCGAAGTCGGAGGCCGTTTAGGCCCCCTTTGGCCTTCCAAAAAGACGGCCGCTCGTGAGTCCAGCGTTGAGTCGAAATCAAAGCCCCCCAAGAGGGTCTACCTAAAACCCAGGGCTTCTTAGAAAAACAGTAAATAGATAAATCAATCAATAAATCAATAAATGTGTTGTTTTTTAAGGCAAATAAGTTTTGTTTTTTAAGGCCGGAGATCCGTGCCCCGGGAGGTCAGCCAGGATTGTTCCCCTCACCTTTGCCCTGACCCCCGCCTCCGTCGTCCAGGATGGCGTTCAGGAGGTCTGAGAGGTACACCGCGGCCAAGGCGGGGCCGTCGTTCCTGGGAAAAAACGCGACAGCGCGGAGGCGGAATCGGAGCATCTCTGGACTCACGCAGAGAGCTCTTAGGGCCGAAGACAAGTAAAGAAATAGGTGCGCGGTGTGGCTTAAAGCCCAAACATATGTTTGGGCATTGATGGGTGAAAACTGCATGTAAACATGTAGCTCCTTATGGTGCAATTGCCCTGCTAGGAGTTTTTAGCCCACCAGTGTAAAGGTTCCCATTCAGGCAACTGTGACCATGCCCCACACACAAAAGAGTTTTGACCACGGTACAATATGGAACATATAGTCCTTATACGATGGTTGCATAACCCGCGCGGCACAGTGGATTGGCCCTCTGCTACCCTAGCGGCTATTCGGCCACGAAAATGAACGGGTTTCCTGCTCGCAGCCCCCATTGAAGGGGACCTTCAGTCCAGCAGGATGTTCAGCACGAAGCAAGCACAGCTGAAGGTATAGAGCCGTACAAAAGAACCCGGGTATGAACCCCCCAGAACGATGATTCGCAAGATATGGCCATGGGTTACATGGGTCCATACAGTCTGCCCTTGGGCGAGCTCATCAACCGTGACCTTCTGGCTGTTGGGATCTCTTTCAGGTTTTGGAATTGGAACTGTTGCCACAAAAGCCCAAAGGACCCTGAAATAAAATGTGATCACCTTTTGGGACCACCCTTCACATTGACCTCATGAGATCAACTTTTGGTGGCAAACAACAAGTTGGAACCCGCCATCCCTACCAACAAGAAGTGGAGAGGGCTTTTGACTTTTTGGGAATCAACCTAACCAAATCGGGGACGGTGTTTTTCGAGGTCATTCCAACTCCTTCCCCGCCTATCGAACCAGCAAGGAACGTCGTGCCTTGGAAAGAGCTTGTTGGGCTCAACATCTAAGTGGCGGGGGGGGGGGGGTAAGGGCGGGGGTAAGGGCGGCAAGGGTGGCTCCATAAATAAAAAGGCCTAAAAACACTTCCCACGCGCAAATTGTGCTTATTTGTTCTTTCTTATCATGGTCTTCCGCAGTTTTTTGTTCTTCTTCTTTCTTAGCATGGCCCTCCGCCCCTTTAAAAACCCGAAGCCGTTCGTAGGCGCCCAGCAAAACGCGCCGTCGTTAGAAGCGAGGCGCTGGGGTCGGCCCCAGGGCTGGTCGTAGACGGAGCCGTTCACAAAGTACTTGGGCTCCCCGAGCGGAGGGCACCATCCAGGCTGGTCCTTGCAGGGACCAAAACCGGGAGTTCCTCACCTGCCCAAAGGACCCAGAAATGAAAGCTGATCACCTTTTGGGTTGCCATGACTGAAACTAGACCAAAAAAAATGCCAAAAGGTCGGATCAGTTCGATTCGCTTTGGGGAACTGAGATTCCCCCAGGCTCCGAGGAAGGATACACCGACCTGCGACATGGGCATTCTGTTGTAAGCACATGCTTGAAACGGGGATTGTTTGAACAACCACCTGTTGGCTGCCTAAAAGAGAGATTGCTTCAAACTTCGCCCAGCCCTGCTGGTGCTTGGGCAAAAACAAGCAAGGTGTTCCTTTTGGCCGTAGCTACTCCAAATGAGCAGACGTCAAACAAATCAAAACAAGACACAGTTACCAAGAACACTGAAGAACATGCTTTAACACCCATGTGCTGAGCAGCCTCTGCACAACCCCTAGTCAATAGCAAAAAACATTGTCCGAAAACAAATGGACAAAACCCACACCAAACGCAGCAGTCTATAAACACCAACCGATGAGAGTAATAAATAAGCACGGTGGAATTGCGCCTTCTATTTTCACCCAACTGCAAAACCACACTGGCATTGCCGAAGCCCAACGACGGACCGACATGCGTCAGTTTCTACCCTATGTCTTAACATAAGACGTAGAAGAGCCTCCCATCAGCCAGGTAGTAGAACTGCCAACATAAATAGCCTTCCTGCGCTTTGCCCACCCTACTCCTAAGGGACCCCCATATTTCCCCCACCCCCATCTAATGGATTAAAGGGACTAAAAGACTTGTTTACCCACCGAAAAGGCGAATCTACCCCTTGTCCAACAATCATGAAAGCAAGACAGAGGGGGATCCCCAAAAAAAACATAGTCTTCAGCCACCCTCCTGTCAGCTTCCATGTTTGTAGGGAATCTAGAGCACCGGTCTCACAGAGCTCCCTCAAAACAACACCTCTACCAAGGGCAAAGCTCACCTTGAATTGGCCAAACCGGCGCTTAAAACCACCAAAACGGGAAACGAAGGGATCCCTGTCTCTCTAAAACTGCGCTTAAAACCGCCAAGGGAAATATCGGGATCCGTGTCTCCCCGTTTTAATGGAAACATAGGGATCCCTGTCTTGCGTCCTTGTACCAGGGAGGGCACATCGTGTTGGGATCCGCTTGGTTCCAGAGCTTCGGCAGCAGCTCGGCGTAGCGCACCAGCTGCTGCCGGATCGGAGACCCCACGTCCCCTCGCGAGGCGTCGGTTTTTTTTTCCGCGAGCCTTGTTCGGCGGCTTTTAGGGGGCGAGATGGGAGGTCGGAACCACCAACACCCAACACAAACAAACAAACAAGACACAAGTGTTGTTTGGGAGGTCGGACATACGGAGAACTGCGAACCACGCAAAAAAACACCCAACACACATAGACACACACACTCACAAAAAAAGAGAGTGTGCTTTTGTATCAAAAGCGAGGTCGGGTCGCTCTGACAATTGGTAGCTCCATCTGGCTTGTCCCTTCGCACCCCCCCCCCCCCCCAAAAAAAAAAGACATCCCAAAGGCTGCCAATTGGTAGCCAACATGGTCCCTACAAGGGCACTTCAAAGAGGCTTCACTTGCAAGGCCACAGCGACATTCAGATGGACATCTACAGCACTTACCAGAGTCGGACACTCCAAAACACATGGTTCCACCTCCGAACCCGGGTGAGGGCCCGTCTTGGAAGGTGCTATGGTTTCAATGTCCCCTCGACGTAATCGGATGCCTCCTGTGGGATTTGGAAACAGAGCATCGCGGGTCATATGGGTTGGTCTCAAGAAAAAGGGGCCCCCAACGCAAAATTCCTCCTGGCTTCCCTTTAAAACCAACCGAAAGGGTACACTCAGAAAGAACACACCATGTATCCAAGCAATACGGCTTCACTCCCAATTGTTCAGTAGCACCTCAAACCTCCTTTGGGTTTCCAAGAACCATCAATTCCCACACTCGAGGCAAGGACTTCTAGGCACCGAGCCCTGACCGCAAAGCGCATGCGCAAAGAAACCCATCCCAAAAGCCCCAAAAAAACAAGGCTCTCCCTACCAGCTGAGCAACTGGGTACCGTACGCAACCCCAAGGTCCGCACAAGCTGTGGCCAGCTCACCGAAGTGGGCAATTCTGCTTTGATGCAGGTCCCGTACTTAGTCTGGTGGGCTTCATGTTAGTGAAAGGTATAGTGAGGGCTGGCCAAACATCTGGCTTGACAAACCTGTTGTGTCAAAACACGCCTCTCATTCCCGCTCCGTGTGCACCGGGCAGTTTTCCCGGCTTTAGTTCCTAATCCGGGAACTCTGACTCCTGTGGCTTGCCTCGATACCAAAGCAAACACGGTCCAAGCACCCATCCGGCTAAGGCGCCCCGAATTCTTTGATGCACAGAGACAACCTTGCCGTAATTCCTGCAGCCACCCGAAAAAGACGAAGAAACAAAGTCACGGGCGAGCTCAGTTCACCTGATTGAGCTCAGCGCACCTCACCGAGCCCATCATTCTGTGACTAACCAACCCCCACCAAAGCCCAAGCAGTTGAGTCGGGCCGCCGATGATGGCGGCGAATTTGCCCCCAGGCGCTGCCACAGTAATCCTCAGCAATGTTCGCATCGTTAGGGCCGCGTCGCGCTGCCACATGAAGAAGTAGTCGTTGCTGTGGTTGCTCGACACCTTGCGGCTCTTTGTTGCTCACAGCGAACTGTGAAAAACTTGGGTCCAATGTCGACCCCAGAAAAAACTGGCCCCCTGCTTGATTTTGCTTGGGGTGTGTGTCCTTTTTAGGCGGACTCCTTCCTATATTTTTGGTGTGGAGCACGACACCCCCCTATTCATGCGACGGCGTATCATTTGCCATGCAGAATCCGCTTGAGGGTCTTGGGGTTGGGAGCAGATCTGAGAGACCTTGTGTCACCCAGAATAAACCAGCACGTTCCAGGGAGAAGAGCACCCGTCACTGTTGTTCTACATTTTTTTCATCTTTGAGGAACGGCTTGGAGCAACGATACGACTTCCCCGGAACTGCCGTTGAAACCCCGCGCCGCCCATGGCCGGGGGCGGCTTTGCTCAAAGAGAAACCATGGCCCGCCTTGCTGGGCGCCGCGACCAGCGTGCCGTTAGGGAAGAAGTTCGCGGCCATGTTGGCGGCAATGTGCCCCACCTGCGCACTGATGGACTGCATCATGCACCAAGACACGATCCATCACCTCGCTTGGTGGTTTGATATGGTTGGCACCCCCCTTTTTGTTGGTTTTCAGATGTTTTCAGCCATTTTCGGGGGGGTCCCCGGACAGAAAAAAGAATCGGACAGGGCCGGGTTGGGTGGTTTGGACATGGGGCCTTACGGGGCACCTGCCCCATGCTTCCAAACAACTGGGCCCTGGGCTAGAAATCTGAATTCAACCCACCAATCCATGCAAACTACTTGTTTTTGGGTTGCTTGAAAGCCGTGACTGCTCGAAACGAAGTGCCAAACCTCGCATCTAGCGTCTACCACGGTGGCTGCTGTTTTTGTTTTTGTTTCTCCCCCGATTTCTCTCCAGCTCGGGGAGCATTTTCAGTTGGTGTTTCCGACTCCCCGCGACCAAGGCACCTGGAAAATCGAGCTGTACTAGTGGAACGGTTCGTGCCTCACTTCCTGAGTGGATGGGCCCAAAATGTCCAAGCCTTTGTGTCCACAAAAATGGACCTTCAAAAAAGATTGAAGTCCATGAACTCAGGAACCTCACCATTCCGGTGTCGCCCTGCCAAACGATCAGGGAATCTAGGAACGCGTTGCCCGCTAGAGTGCCCTTGTTTTGTTTGCGGGTACCCCGTTTCACCTTGGGTTCAAATATCACAAGAGTATCAGCTCCCAAGCATCTCGTAAACTGTGCCTTTTGAGGGTACCCGTTTAGGGACATCAAGGTGAAATCCGAAATCCGGTCGGCGGAGTCCAAATCCCTATTTTGAGACCGGATGTCAGGCCACTTCGCCAGGAATGGCTCGCGGTCGAACCTTGACGGTTGCTGGGGCCAAGGTCCATGGATGGCCCCAGCTGCAAGCTCATTTATTTATCACGCACCCTTTAAAACCGAGCAAATTCTTCAGTGGGGCCCTTCTCTCTTTCAACGCAGAACTCCTCCCCCCGCCGTGAATTTCCGGCTTTCGGACCCAAGGGCAACTCCAAAATGGGAACTGAATTGCTCCGTGGGGTCTTTGATCTGGGAAGCTTTAGACCAGTGGTCAGGGATGCTCAGGCTTCGGGGGATTGACGTAGGGTTGCTAGTTGACCGTTGCAAAGTTCACAGCACCCAGATCGAATACAAAAGTCACTGAAATTTGCGCGGGCCCTGGGAAAGAACGCTTTCGTGCTTGCATGAGGTCGCCAATTGCTCAGAACCTATGGAAAAGTCACTATTGGACTCATCCACCCGCCTCTTCAGCCGTGTAGGGCGCGTCGCTGTCAGCGAGGTAGTCCAACCTGGCTCCGGTTCAGGCACCAAGGTGTCCAACCAAACGTCGACCCAACGGAAAGTCGCCGTTAGAGCAACCTCGGTTGCCTTCTGCTCCCCTGCTAAAAGTTTAACTTCTAGTGGTATAATGGAAAACCCACTTGTTGGCAAAAAGTTAAAGTCCTAACATCCAAGCAAAATGCACCAAAGAAACGTCAACCCAACGGAAAGTCGCCGTAGAGCAACCGTAGTGGTGATGTGTAAAACCTACAAGACAGGTCGAAGCCAAGTCCATCAAATCCCTGCCGAACATGACAAATCTTTCCCAGAAGATCCCAGAAGTGATCTGGACTGCCTCCAAAATGGATCGCATGCCTGCAGAAATCAACCGGCGATTTTCAGCAATCCTTGATCCCCATTGCCTTCGATGCAATGAAATTGTTGACACCCTCATTACCCCCCCAAGTTATATCCAAAAGGCACCAGAGAAGCAAACCTGGCAAAAGCAAAAATCAAATTCGTGAGCAAGCGCGGAGAAACCATGAAGACAAAAAGGTCAATTGGGATCGTTCACTGGCAGAAAGTAACCACCAAATCTGGACGCTGACTGGAATCATGAAGCAACCTTCCGACACAAAGCATAGGAAGTGCTCAGAGTGTCGCCTGGCCGGGGGAGAAAAAAAGAAAAAACGGGTAAGCCCCTCGAAACAGCTTCAAAAATTTTGAACATGACTACTGTCCAACCGTTGGTTATGGTACCAAAAAAAAAAGACGGTCCTTTCCCGTAGCCGCCTCCTAAAATGAACACAACCCAAAAAAGAAGAAGCAATGAAACGAAAAACACACGCCACAGAACAGTGCATACGATCAATCACGTATCCTTTAAGGCCCCCTCCACCCCCCCTTCCCCCTACCCCCTTCCCTCCCCCTTCCCTCCCCCCTTCCCTCCCCCCTTCCCTCCCCCTTCCCTCCCCCCTTCCCCCCCCGCCCATTTTTCGACCCTGCGCAACATGAAACCGAGGCACATCCCATCCGTCAAGGCCGCCACCAGCAAGGGGTTTGAAGCGGAGCGCCGAACCCCGCGGCTGTCTGCCCTGGACCCCGAAGAACCCTTCCCAGACGTAGGCGTTTCAAACCTGTTTTCTTGATGCTGAAGGACCATAGGGAAACCTCACAAAAGCCGGAAGGAATATAGGAAAGAAAGGCCTGTCCAAAAATTGTTTTTCCTCGAAAAAACAAACCAAACACAAGGGGATTGAAGGATTCAGAACCCTAGGGACTCTTCCACCCATTGGGCGACGGCTTAAGCCTCATTTGCCCTTGGCATGCAGGCCTTCTCGCCCGCATTCCCGGGACCCGGTCTCCTATCTGTGGGATGCCTTTATCATCAATGGCCTGAGTAGGTTTGAGGAAGAAGAAAATCATGTGGTTTCCTTAAAATAGCGAGTACCCTTCTTCCCACTAACATGGCACCCGTGGAAGGGCACCTGGAAGATCAGGTTCCTCTTGGTTAGTGGGAGACCGAGTAAGCCCAAGTTCTTAGAATCGGGTTGTGGGGATCTGAAGTCGCGTGAGACGCCCAGAGTCAGCCCAGAAATGAGTCCTGCAAGATGCCTGCATGCATTATCGCATATGGGTTCGTTGCTGTTGAGGTCACCCCGACAGGGAACCGAATGGAAACCACAAAGTGGACTCTGTTTTGAACGCCCATTGTTTGCGAATCAGCAACTTTATAAGGCGCAAAACATGTGGTGGGCATCCTCCGTAGGTCTCTTAAAACCACCCCTTTCATGGAGGACCTGAACCCAAAAAAAGAAAAGACATCTGCTTGTGAGGGCGCCACCTTTTGCTTGGGAACCAAAAGGACAACTACATTTTTGCTTTGGGGGGATCCCCTAACAATGACACGTCCATATCGTACAAGACACCCACTGCAAGAGGCTTGTATTGGAACCATCCCCCTAAGACAAGCTTCTAAGGGACATCAACGAGACCTCACCCTATGCGTTGTTGACTCCGCAAAAAGGTCTGCCGTGTTCCTTGCCGCCTGCGCTCTTCCCAACAATCATGGAAGCAGGCAGCAGGATTCCGGAAGCATAGGTGCCCGAAAAATAGATGGCCCTGGCAGATGCTTCAACCAGCAGGTGAACAAGGGCCGTTCAACCAAACTCACCGAAAAGGACACCTATGTTCCCAAAAGCCTTTTGCCCACATCCATCGGAAAAAAGGCCAAATCCAGCGAAACCGCCGCGGAAGCCTAAGACTAATGGCTTCTTAGGGGGCTTAACCCTTCCTGGGGGTCGGGGGCCCCCAGGGCTTAAGAGGCGAATGGTCACAAAATGTTGCTAACATACGGGCCAAGTCTGAAAAAAAGCTCGCCCACCAAAACCAAGTCACGGATCCCAATGCCCAGCCCTTCCTTGCCCAAAACCCGAGCGGCTGTAACATGGACACGCCCGGCTCATCGGCGTCCAGTTCAGCGGAACTTGAGGCAATGACGCCGAGGAAGGCGGTGCAGAAGCGCAAGAGAGGAGCCATGGGGTATCCCGGGCTGCAAAAGTTATTGAAAATGGGCCGCGAGGGCCAGTCTAAGGGGACATGTCCCGAAAAATCATGCCAAAAAAAGAAGCCATGCAGTTGGAGCCGATTTTGGATTTGGCAGAAAGTTTGAACAAATGTGCGTGTCCGACCTCGGCCCGGCTTGCCATGCGTTCTGAAACAACAAATCAGGCCATAGACACTTGACAATCTGCATGGCTGCGCCAGATTTGAGCCAATGTCGTGGGTGAGCTCTAAATGCTCTCAGGGGGCTATAAACTTGGGCAGCAATGTCAACCCGAGATGTTTTTGCTAAACCCGACTAGAGCATGACAAGGACATCAAGGGTTCTGCTTACTCCAGGGTTCTCATCATTTAGCCCGAAAAATGAAACGCGCTCGAGCCTCCAAACCTGAAATCGTCGCCAAGCCCCTGTGCCATTGGGGCCAACTGCTCCCTTGCAGGGGCCCAAATGCTCCCTGCCAACTGAACCCCCCCCCAAAAAAAAAGCGAGCAGAACCCCAGACAACTATCCCGTCGAACATAGAACTCAACTGGATGTTGGGAGACCAAGTTCCAAGAGAGTTGGACCCTCTGGTAGGTTCCATGTTGGGAGAGCGAAAGAAAGCGCCAACGACCAACACCCTCGGAAATGGAGCTTGGCAAAGCTTTTTCAGCTTCCAAGCTTCGCATCTCTATGTCTTGCATCACTCAGAACTCCGAACTTGGACGCAAGTGATAATCGACACCCAAAACTTGGTTCCTGCAACGACCCCCCTGCAAAAAGTGATACTTTTGGGGGGTTTAGTGGAAAACCCCTTGATTTCCCAAAAAGTTAAAGTCTAAAGGATCAAACCCAATAGCAGTCAAGAAAAAGGGAGATAAAAAGAACCCACCGAACAAACAGCACTCCAGAAACAACGAGCCAGCCTACCCGACCCGTCGCACAAACAGGCTTGTTCGCTGTAAGCTCCCTGTACAAACCTCGGAGGACGGAGCGCAATTGGCCCCCCGCACACACGTCGCACGCGTTGCGCAACAAACCAAGCAACTTTGCGCCTCGCGTCTTCCGGCGCAGACCTTCGGTCAACGTTCCTTCGCTGCGTCGAGCGACACCGACGGTCAAACTGGAACGGGCAAAAGATGGCCATGGCAAGCGGCTGCTTGGAACCTTGGAGGGTCCATATTTCTCTGGAACCACCTTGCTCGCATGCGTCAGGCTGTCAACAATGGCCCCTTTCTTGGGAGCACCTTGGCCCCCTCTCGCACGTACACGGAACTCACAAGGGGCTCCCTTTTGGCAGTAGCGCGGGAGGGTCAAGGCGGCCCCAAACATGTCACCGCCCCAACAAGCGGAGCGCCCTCCCTCTTCATTCGCTTAAAGCAAGCCCGCTGTGAATGGGCCTTTTCAAGCCGTGCTGTTTCAAACCAAGAAAAAAGCAGACACAGACTGCATACCCTCCCACCAATGTGGAACCTGACTTGCGGGGGTTCCTGGTTTGGACCATTTTCCTTGTAAAGGGACCCCTGTCAGGTTCCATGTTGATTAGTGGGAGGGTAGCTTTTCCAGCGGTGTATGGGGTCTGGAGGCTATTCTGTGACAACCTGACTCGGCGCCCGGGCACCGAAACCGAGGCGCTCAGCTGTCACTGCCAGGCGACTAACCAGTGGCACTCTGCCGACTCGATCTCCTGCGCCAGATAACGTGGCTGCGTCTTGTTTGGTCTGAAGAACATTTTGTGGCTGGACGAAATCCGCTCGCACCAAATTGAAATCATGGAAGACCATGTCGCACCACCCAAGGAAACCATGGTTGCAACCATTGCCTGCTGCCATTTACAAGGACATCAAAACATTCCAGGGTTTCTCAGGTTTTCGCACACTTTCGTCCATCCTTTCACCAGCCTTTCACCAGCCTTTCATTGCGTCCCATGTAAGGATCATCTGTTCTTGAAACTCGGCTGGAAAAATCGGACCCCAGAAAATCGTGTTATCTCTTTTGCCAGGTGAGTGGAAAAAACCAAGGGAACCCACCCCCAAAAAAAAAAGATAAAGAAAGAAGGCAAAAAACAAGAAAAAAAAACAGGAAAAAAAGGAGAGCTCATTTTGCTGGTTGGAGGCTGCAAACGAATGCCCCGCTTTCCGCGAGGCCCAACTCTCGGCTCAGGCGCAAGGTCAAAATGACTGGCGCTGGCAGCCGGAATCGGATCCTTCAGCAACTGGTGGCGGATGGGGGCTGCCCAAACTTCCGGAGGCCCTCTGTAAAACGCTCCGAACCAAATGCCGCACATAAGCTGGGAAGTAGGCCAAATGGAACAGGGCTTGCGACCATAGGGTGGCCCAATCGCAGGCAACTCTTCTTTTTCGCGTAATTGTGGGAACCCCCCCCCAGTTTTCTCCAGCGTCTCGCCGGTGCTCTTAGGCTGGAAATGCCTTCCAGGGCCACCCATTTCGCAAAATTGTCCCTTAGGCCTTCCTTTTGAGTACCCCATGATAGCATTGCAAAACGAAAAGGTGGGCTTTGAACAACTAAGAAAAGGACAATTCTTTAACTTCTTGGGATGGGTCTTGTGCCCGGAGTGAAATTGCACGCTACAGACCTGGCAATTGATATCAGGCGCTCACTTGAAACACCTTCCTCTCGACAGTTCTTTGCTGATGGAACGAGGAGGGAAAAAAGGGCGCAAAGCACCAGCCCAGAGCCTTCAGATCCCCCCCCTTCAGGGGAAGAGGGACACTGATGGGAAAAAAAAGCGATCAACATCAACACTGTGTGGTGTGTGTGTGTGTGTTTGCGTCTTCCCGTTTGTCGGGTTTCGCCTGTTGCTGAAGTAACTTTGCGAATATCACTTTTGGACCCAGTTTGTCAAAACTCCTAACTGTTCTTAGGGAATCCGGGGTTCCTAAGATTTCCTTTAGGCTTCCTTACCCTCCAAACTCCAATTGCAGCCTGACAAACATGGACATATTCGCAATGATCGAGCCCGGGGGAAAAAAACTCGAGTCCCTCCCCCCATTACCCTGCGCTCCCCCCGTCAAAGGAGGGCAAGTTCCACCCCCCTCCTTTTCCCCCCCAACGACTCTGGCGCGGACGAGTGATAGGTTGCCATGGATCCATCATACCTGTCATGTCTGGAGTCTCGCAACTTTTTTGTGGCTGCTTTGTGTAAAGGGAAACCAAACCATAGGAAAACCAAAGAAACCAATGGGAACCCCCTGGAATGAGACACTGGCGCATCACTTGATCGCTTCCGAGCGGGGGGAATTCGCCCCAATGTATCTGACACATCACTGGATCGCCGCCTTCCCAGAATGGGCATGCGAAATTGTTCGTGGGCCCCTCAATGCGTGGAAATTTTAGTGAATGCCCCGCTTCCAAAGTGAACTAGACTGCATGTGGGAGTTCGACCAGACATGGCTTCGGCTTTCCTTGTCCATACTGAACAAACCAAAGGGCTCTGAGCCTCTGACGGACCAGCTTCATATTCATCCGGGGCCAATCTCAATCTCCGTTGCTCATATTGGCCAAGCCTCGTTTGGCAGCAGACACGGAGTCCGCGACGCGCATTCGACGCGCGGCGCGACGCGGCGTCCGCCGTGCGGCGTCCTTCCGCGGCAGAGGGCGCCCGGAGGAGAGCTGCTGGGCGCGGCTGGGCACCACGGGCACCGGGAAGTGCCAGGCCTCCCCGTTGTCCGAGACCTCACGGGTGGGGCGTGGGGGGTGAGGGGAGGGGGGTGAGGAGGGGGGTGGGTGGTGGTGTGGGTGGTGTGGGTGGTGGGGGGGAAGGTGGGGAGGAAGGTGGGGAGGAAGGTGGGGAGGAAGGTGGGGAGGAAGGTGGGGAGGAAGGTGGGGAGGAAGGTGGGGAGGAAGGTGGGGAGGAAGGTGGGGAGGAAGGTGGGGAGGAAGGTGGGGAGGAAGGTGGGGAGGAAGGTGGGGAGGAAGGTGGGGAGGAAGGTGGGGAGGAAGGTGGGGAGGAAGGTGGGGAGGAAGGTGGGGAGGAAGGTGGGGAGGAAGGTGGGGAGGGGGAGGGTGGGGCGTGGGGGGGGTGGGGGGGGAGGGTGGGGGGTGGGGAGGGTTGGGGGGGGGGGGGTCAGTTTTGGGAGTGTGGGGTGGGGGTGGGTTTTGGTTTGGTGCTATTTTTAGAGTTGGTTTGCTGGGGCGTCGTGTTTTGCAGGCACAACAGTGGAAGATCCAATGCCCTAAAGGATGCAGCGCAAAAAGACTCAGTCCACCACGCAGGTGGTGTGGTGTTTGGTTGTGGGGTGTGGTCCAGGCTTGGTGGGTGTGGTGGGGGTTGCTGGGGGTTGGTGTGGTTATAAAACCAGACCTCCTACTTCACCTCAGCCCAATGGCCATGACTAAGAAAAGCATAGGAGTAACCCGTCTGCAATAGTCCACAAACAAAAACAACTGTGAGGCCTTACTTGGCTTAAGATCACGGAGCGATTTTCCCGCCCAAGGCGGGCAACCAAGCAGGTGATGTGTACAACCTGCAAGTCATAGCCGATGCCGAAGTCAAGCCAAACCCGCCGCGTGCTCCGCACAAGTGATCTGAGTCCTGGGTTGCCTCTATGATGGGTTGCACCCCTATTTCTATACCCCACCCGAAATCCCGCTCTAGCTCAAAACCTGCCAAGAACCAAACGAATTTCACAGGCCTAACTTTGCCTGAACGCACGCACAAAAACAAAAACAGCGCCCACCCCGCAGGGCACTTTGCCAGTCTTCAAATTGGAGTGGCTCCTTTTTTTTAGGGATCGTCCCCGCCCCCCGACATGGGAATCGCTCCTTTTGGGCAACTCAACAAGAAACACCCGAATAGAACATACGTTCTCAGGAGACTCCCCGCCTGGGCTTGCAAAGAGTACAAGTCTGGGGGCGTGAGTGTGACCTTGCAGTTCCTCGCGGGTCAAGAGGCTCAAAGCAAACCAACCTCCAACCAAAAAGCCCCGGGAAACAAAAAGAAGCTTCATGCAAAGTGAAGCGTCCCCGGTTCCTGGTTCCACGAACCTGCAAAGCTTGTTGAATCATTTGCGCTGCGTGGGAACATGGATTCCCACCGATTCATCCATTCCCTCATTCGCTCAACCGCGACGTGCAGATCTCGCCCTCGCAGTCATGTGTGGCGCCACTGAAGCACGACGCTCTGAAAACAAGGCGAGCTAAGCGTAAGGCCCCCCAAAAATGCCTGGCTCTTTTTTGAAGCACG